GTCAATGGTTTAATGCTTTAAACTAGCAATACTATAAAAATAAGTTAATTTTGAGTAACTGACATGATATAAATTATACATATGTGTGCTACCATTCAAAAATTTGGGTCAGTAAGTTTTTTCTTTCTAAATATTAAAATGAATAATATTCAGCAAAGATGCATTAAATTCATCAAAAGGGACAGTAAACATTTATAATGTTGCAAACAATTTCTATTTCAAATAAATGCATTTTTTTTTACTTTATATTAATTACAGAATCTTTAAAAATGTATATTTTTATTAATATTTGGATCAAATATTAAGCAGCACAACTGGTTTCAACATTGATAATAGTAACAACAAATCTATTAAATACAAATAATAAATCTTCAGCATATATTAGCATCAAATCAGCATATTAGAATGTTTTCTGAAAGATCGTAACATTTGAAAATATATTCAAACGGTTAATTTAAATTGTAATAATATTTCAGAATATTACTGGTTTTACTGTATTTGTGATCACAAATGAATGCAGCTTTGGTGAGCTTAACTATATTACATAATGTTTTATTACATAATATACATTGCAGAGTTGTATATATTTTTAATATTTAATATTTTGTTTTCTCTCACCTCCCTCATCTGTCTCAAGCTCACACTGGACTGGTCCTGGAGCAGTTCCCTCTGGACATCTCTTCCCATGAGCCTTTGACTTCATATGTTTAGTTAGATTCCCTGAGGAACGCCGTTTCATCATGGGAACACCAAAGAAAATATTAAATGCATTTATATCATGTGCATCCCTGTGAGGGTACAGGTGTAGACTTAACCATGTGCATACTGTATAAACAACGTCTGGTGTCACAGAACGAGTGATATTATAACATATATTATAAGCCTCATAAAGCCCCATTATAAACCCCTATCTTTCTTGTGTTTACAACATTTCTGACTAAAACAGAAAGACAGGGCACATATTGTTGTGCTTTTCATAAATGAGTTTAAAGGGGTCATATGATGCGATTTCAAGTTTTCCT